GAGCTGTTACCGTATACTACTATTCCAAGACAAATAAAGAATATGACAAAAACCAAATCGTAAAGGTGGCACAGAGCCCTAACACGCATTTTGCATTGCATCACTCTAAAAAAGTACCACCTACGGAGTATTTATTTATTTATTTACATATTTAAAGTTGTTTTCAAATTAGTGCTAAAAAAGATTTTCTACAAAATAAGAGTTGGGCTAAAACTTACAAGCATTTTTACCAACACGGCTTCCAAGACATTCTCGGCGCTGGCAGATAGGGCTCGTTCCAAAAAATCGGAAACAAAAAAAAAAGAATCAAAATAAATTGAACTGCAATCAAATAAAACGGAACTGCTAAAAAATCAAAATCAAATGTAAAAGTTGAATCGAACCGTAGTTGTTTGATTTTAGTCTTTACCTTTTAAGGCCGACCCGAATAAACCGATTGAACTAATTAAAGTATAATATTTTAGTTGTTAATTGTTAAGTACTCATCCTAATATCATCGATATCCTGTGGTTTTTTGTGCCGGAAAATTATTTTTAGTATTATGTTTAACTTAGTTTATAAATGCATTTACACATTCATTGCTTATAATAATGTATGTATATAGATCTAATGTGTCTTTTATATGTGTATGTTGCAATGTGTTGCATGATGGTGACATGTTTTACTCGTTATTACTAGTACGTACTTAACTTTATTTATATGTAACTTAATTTTTTTTATATTGATAGAAACAATATATATATATATATATATATATATATATATATATATATATAGGAAAAAGTTCAAGTAAGGTAGGCCTAAGAATTGAAATTCTTAGGCCTCTTTCATTTGAGGTGCTTCCCGGACGAATTTTTAGATGAAATTTTGTGAGCATGTTATCCATGAAGTGTTGACTATGCCCACCAAATTTCAAAATAAAATTCAATCGGGAAGTCGGTTAAATAATTTTTTCAAAATTGCGCAGGTTTTTACATAAATAAAATGCAGTTTTTTTTCAACAATTTATTTAAATGACTTCCCGATTGAATTTTATTGTGAAACTTTGTGGACATCATATTCAATCCATCAAGAACATGCTCACAAAATTTCATCAAAAAATTCAACCCCGAAGCACCTCAAATGAAAGAGGCCTAAGAATTACAATTCTTAGGCCTACCTTACCTTAGCATTGTCCTATATATATATATATATCAACTACACCACATAGAACATATTTATTCATGAACTCATTGGATAGAGTTATTGTGCATCAAATTGATAGTTTGAACGGTTATATCAGGCCTTCCGGATCGGAACTGTCGCATGGCCCCGACCCATCCACTTAAGGTGCTTCTGGGTGCATTTTATTGAATTTTATGAACATGAATTTTCATAAAGTGTAGATTATTTGACCGAGTTTCACTTTTAAATTCAATCGGGAGCCAGTTAAATAGTTTATTGAAAAATATTGTGCTTTTATACATATTTTGGCGCAATATTTTTCAGTATAAAAATTGAAATTTATAATAAAATTTTAGTGTGGCCTTTCCAAAGAATAAGACTCCTTTAATGAGTATTTCTAAAATAAATACGGAGTACAATAGATAAAAATATAGCTTAATTTAAAGTTTTCTGTAGAAGTGAATAACTATTACATTTATTTATTTAATTAAGTGAGATTTTGACTTTTCAACCTTTTTTGTGCAGTATTGTAATATTTCAGCCCATTTTGTGATCTACGTAATACTCTAACTATTACTTTTTATGTGCAACTTTTTTTGTGCAATTTTGTAATATTTCAGCCCAATGGAAAGCATGTATATTTGGACACAAGTCCAACTCTCATTCTCTCAAGAGGAAACGTCTCAATCCCAACGGTTTTGAGCTCTGCCCCTCCTGCGGCCTTACCAATTATAGTCAAACAAAACTATGGTTTATTTGAATTACTATCTAGAAAGATAAAAAAAAAAACTTTGAAAGCTACTAAACGGTAAAAAAAGATCTGATCCGCTGGTTTTTATTGAAACTCCAAACTCCATCATATTGAAAGTAACATTTCGTAACTCCAACTTCAAGATATGTATTTTCCGAGTTGTATATCAAAATTTCAATCTTTGTTTGTAAAAATTCTTATGCTAAAAGCTAGTGTTTTCTCCTAAAATAATGATGAATGATAAAATAATTACGAAGTTGATGGTGGTAAAAAATATTTTCTCATACATTGATCGGCAAACTCTGGTTAGCTAAATGGTCAATTCAATTGGTGACTTACATCGTGCTAGCCAACGTAGAAAGCACGCTCCGAATGACAAGCATTAGTGGGACCCATCAAGCATAAAAATGAAAAAATCCTTTTGGACATGTTTTTATGCAGACAAAAAAGGAGTCAGCTTTTGTCTGTGAACTGACATTCACAAACAAAAAAAAAATCTCTCGCAGACACAAAGGTACAGTGGCATGTATAAGAACGTGTACACCAAGAATTTCCCTAAAAAAATCTCATTTAAAAAAACTGTTATAACTTTTTTATTTGTATTATGATGGTTATAAAAAATGTATCAGAATTCAGAATTTTTCATTATCTTTCAAATGACGCATATAATGAGAGGCCGTTTGTCAACACTGTTTTTCGGCTTATAATGATTCATATTTTGTTTTCGCGCGCTGAATTGTGTAATAAGCAGAAAAAAGTAAGGTTGAAATTACGAAAATCGACTTATTTCTGACTGTATTGGCTTAAGTTACTGTAGATGACCATTGTAGGTATTTTTACATATATTTTTTTAATAATAAAATATACCTTAAAAATATTTTTTTCTTAAATGAGCAGAATCAACCAATGCAGCTACTTCAGCTAGAACTTCATAAATTTTAGCAGAAGCAACCAAATCAGGCGATTTTTGTACTACCAAACGGGCTTTGAATATATAAAAATTTAAAAGTAATTTAGCACTTTAAAAAAGTTTTGTTTTTAAAGTGTACTAATTTTTTTTACTTTTACTCAAACTAATTAAAAAAAATATTTCAAAATTCATAGCTTTTTATTATCTTTCATAAGACACTAGTATTTTATAAGTAAAAGTAAAAAGTAATTTAGTACTTTAAAAATCTGTTTTTAGAGTGTTATACCTTTTTTGGTACTCCGATAGTCTAAAAATATATATCAAAATTCTTAACTTCTTATTATTTTTCATACAAAAAGAACAATTTAAAATTTTTTAAAATTTTAAAGTGCTACGTAGATATAGAGTTATATATCAAAATTCATATAGAGTAGGGAAAACTATCAAATAAGCCCCCGTACTATACCGAAAAAGTCGATTAGGCCCTCGTACTTTACAACCACTCAATTAAGCCCTCGAACTATTAAAAACGTTCAATTAAGCCCTTTCGATCGGTAAGTAACCGGTTTCCCGGTTAAATGTAACTCGTTTCCCGGAAGCTGCCGTTGCTGAGGTTCAAGCATATCGTCGTCGTTGTCACCGTTTAACCGGGAAATCGGTTACTTACCGACCGAAAGGGCTTAATTGAACGTTTTTTAATAGTTTGAAGACTTAATTGAGTGTTTGTAAAGTATGAGGGCCTAATCGACTTTTTCGGCATAGTACGGGGGCTTATTTGATAGTTTTCCGCGGGATAATATATCTCAATTCATAACGTTTTATTACATTTCATATGAAATCAATATTGCATGCTTAAAAATAAAACCTTTCTAATTCATTGAACCTCATCAATTAGAAATTGCGAGTTTTTTAAAGTCTCGTATAAATAATCATGTGAATTGTTTTTAACATAAAATATTGATTTCTGTTGAGATATATTATCCCGCCGTACTACTATTCAGGAGCCCAAAGCATTACCCAGTACAAGCCTGATCAATGAGGCCCGTTTCGGCATGTTTTGGCCATCCGGCCCACTTTGGCCTGACGGTCCCACCTTGGCCCGTTTGGCCAATTAGGAGGATTCCCCTCTTATTGGGGATCCCCTTTTTTCTCCTCTCTGGAATAGAATAGCTAGACTAGCAAAGTAGCAACCTCCATCAATGGAAGCTCCAATGTTTGTACTGTGTAATGGGTGGGCTTGAACATTAGGCTAAAAAGTCTCGTAGTTTTCTCCCTTTCGTGTTCCATGTAAAGATCAAGTGTTCATATGAAATTATATCTATATCTATTATATCGTGTTGGATTAAACTCAACGATTTCATATAAAATGTAATAAAATATGAATTTGGATATATTATTTCTATCAATTAGAGTACAAATAAGAAAGTTGTAACACTTTAAAACTGATTTTTAATTATCAAATACAGGCAGTAGATACCGTTAACCAACAAGTCTCCTATCTTGAGAAGCAACCCCAGTTGCATTTGACTCAGGCTTACTCAGATGCATCTGACGATTTTGATCATTTAGACGACTCACTATTCACAGATGACTTCTTGGGACATGCAACAGAAAGTGAACGTCGTCCTGCTATCTCATACCCGGAAGAAATCAAAAAGTCCAAATTCAATACCGCGATTTGTCGGAAAGCCAATTTCATAAACTCAGAGAATTACCTGCCGACTGATAATCTAAATACGCAACTCAAATTATACAGGAAATCTCAAAAGAATAAAAGACGTCACAGTATGTATGACAACAAGGTCGCAATCCAGAGATTTCCCATGGGACAGCTTTCAATTAGTTTTTTTTTCCTGTTTTGTACAACTTTTCCTTTTTCCTTTATTGCGTTGTACTGTTTTTAATTCTATCAATAAAATTCCTTTTCCTCAAAAAAAATTAATTTTTTAATTTTTATATAAACAATAAAGATAAACAAAGTTACAAATTTTGATATACTTTTTAAAAAATCAAAGAACAAACAAAAAGTTATAGCACTTTTTTAAAAATGAGTTTTTTTGTTGAGGCCTAATATATCTCTCCTTGTTATGTCGTGCTCAATCTCCGCTTCCTTTTTTTTTATAGTCATATTGTTTTTCAGTCCCATATCAGATCAGAACAAATCAGACCACATCATTTCAAACTAGATCAAAATAGACTTGAATTAAATTTAAAATATACATAAATCGGACATTTACCGCACCAAACTAGCCCAGTTCAAACTTTACCAGACCAGATCATACTAAATCAGACCTGACCTGACCTGATCGACAAATTTTAATCCAAATAAAAACATCCTTACTCAATCAAGCACAAATTATATTGACTAACCTTTAGTTATATTTTTGTGGATAAATGTCTACATGTATGCGCGTGTGTACGAATTTGTATCAAATGACATACAATGTCCTAAAAATCAAAGTTTTCTTGGTGACACAAAAATTTACTTTAAGTAAATTTACTAAAAGAGGGCTCTATTGTTTTTTCACATTTGATCTCCATTTGCACGGAAACCGCTCACCAAAGTTGATGTTGTGTTCTACTTCGAAGCAGAATTCCGGCGGCTCTAAATGGCTAGACCGGCTCCAATCATCCAAGGGCTTCCCACCCTATGACTTCGTCAACCTCGAACACTTCTTGCTTCACCATACTTCTACTTCGCTCAATTCTCCCCCAATTAACCCCGCTCTTCTGAGGTCGGAAGACATCAGTTCCGAATTCTGCTCGAATGGAGCAGGATCGGAGAAAGAACCGGTGCTCGAAGCTTCTGTCAACGACGGAGGAACGAAATTGGTCAATGCTTTTAGCCATGTCCTCTCTGAGCTTTTTAATATGGGAGAATCGAGTAATTATGCAGCACATAAAAAGGAGTCTCGGAAACAATCAAACCCTAGAATTTTCTCTACTTTTACTTCGGCGGAATTCAGTAATGTTTCTGGCTCCTGAGATTAACGAGGGAAACAAAGAATAGCGTCACCCATCAGCGATGATCAGACTAGAGGAGAAATGAAGGAACTGAATGACCAGGTGAAGCTACTGGAGCAAGGGCAGGATTTCGTGGTGAGTGAGGAGAGGATGGATGCAAATTTATTGGGATATTCCAAGTGTGAGGTTACTGTGAATGACATGAGCTGCGCGCCATGGAAATTTGATAAATTGTGGTTCAGAAAGAAGACTGTATGGAAGGTTTGTGACAAGAGAACAAATACACTATATCTAGGTGATGTACTTATATTTTACACACTTTTTAGACTTAGTTTGTTGTTAACTGTAGTTATTAAAGTTCTACTTTTGTACATATTTTTATTATTTGTCGTTAGTTTGTATTAGTGCAGTTCTATACGGGTATTTTATATTTTCAGGTACATTTGATGCTATTTGGATACATTTGAGTGTGAAAAAAAGAAGAAAATAAAAGTTCAAGTTGGAGGTCAATAAAAATGGAATTTCCTTCAAAGCAAATAAGGAGTAAATTGAAGAAAAGAAACAAAAAAATGAAAAGAAAGGAGTTGGGGATCGAACATAGGTCATTGGGCAAGAAGCAAAAATAACAAACCAACGAGCTAGTTCTCATTGTTGTGAAGAAGTCAGCTGACAATTATTATACGGGGGAATTTGACTTTGCACCCCACTTTTTGGGTGATATTGTACTTTGCACCCCATTTTCAAAAAACTTTGACTTTGCACCCCAACACCTACCATTTTGTGAAGAAAAATTTCTAAATGGGGTGCAAAGTCAAAGGAATTTTAAGTTAAATGAGGTGCAAAATCAAAGCTTTTTCAAAATGGGGTGCAAAGTTCAATATCACCCAAAAAGTGGGGTGCAAAGTCAAATTCCCCCTTATTATACTCCTTGTGAACGCAACAAAGAAAAGAAGAACAAAATGATGAAGCTAAGAATTGATCCCATGACCTCCGAATTTTCCCTTAGTCACTCAACCACTACACTAAATCAAACTGTTGGAACATCACTGCACTGTGTTGTACATAAACTTATCTCTTCCGTAAATTCCAGCAATGATTAATCACCTTATATCATTATATGGCCTAATACATCCCCTTCCACACATAATCTCGAGCCAACTTCTCTCTACACATCCCAAAACATTTCCTCCTCCTTCTCTTTTCATTCTTCACCTTCAAATCATCAACTCATCTTCAACCACAACTAATCACTTCCTTATCCAAGATTAAGTCAAGATTAGCCCCAAAGCTTCAAGGATTGTCATCTATCACAAGTTTGATCTTCCTTATCTCATTAAATCTTGTACTTTAATTATGGATTCATCTATTTCTATGCTTCCAAACATGTATAGCTAAATAAATTTGGGGCTAGAAATTGATTAATTAATTGTTCTTATTATGTTTTAATTTGTATTGATTTTAATTGTTAAGTTTGTTCTACTTAGATTGTTGTGTCCAGAAAATTAATTAAGTTATGTTTGTGATATATATTATGAGTACTCAATCATAAACATTTTGTTTGTTAAATACACAAATGAACACTTTCTGAACACACCGTTAAACTTCTTTTACCTTGTCCCGGATTGAAGTTTTAAGGGAGAATTTAATTATTTAATTATATCATCTACACCACGGGGTTGGGTAAATAATATAGTTAAACAACTAGTCTCATTTTGGCCATCACATGGAAATGTTGACTAGTTACTTATTTTAGATGACTTGCGTTGGGTCCTAAAATATTTATCTACAACTTCTCACCATCTACCTAAGAATAAAATTAACAATTATGTCTCTCAATTAAACATTGAACAATTAGTTATCAATTTCTACCCCTACTTTCTATTTGTTGAACTTGTTGTTGTTAAAAATCTCTCATATCAATCACTTTTATTTTATTACTTTTGCAAGCAACCAAAAATCAAAAGAAACTCATTCCCAACTTTAATCCTTAGTTTGTGCTTAATTATTTTATTTCCCGCTTCTCTGTGGTTCGACACCCTACTTCCTTGGATAAAAAAATAGTTGTATGCCCATTATATGCTACACACCACTAGGCAAAGAGGAAGAATATGGACGTAAGCGCAGAAGATAACAATGTTGGCGGAATGAAGAAGCAAAACGTTTCAATTGGAGAAGAAATAAAATTTATAAACCTTGAAGTAAGTTGGATATAAACTTAAGTTTTGCTTTCATCATGTCCCTCCTTTTTTTCTTTCAATTGTGATCTGCTTTTCAAAGGGAACTGGGAAAGTAATTAAATAATTTAACATTGTCTATCTTGGTTCTACCCAAATGGTAATCCTGGGTACATTTATCTTACAATCTTAAGTAGTTTAAACTGCAAATATATGATTGCTGCTTTGTCTAGTTGCTAATAAGCAACCAGAATCGATGATGGGATTTTGTCAACTTCTTACAAGCAAAAATGAAACAAGAATATATATGATATGAATTACGCCAATCATATTAAACTATGAGTCTTTGCCAATCACTTGGGATGTTCTCAAGATTTTTTTTATAGTAAATCACTGGAGAAGTTTATGCCTCCTTCCCTCTTGGCTGATTAAAAGCTAACTAGTAAATCACCCGTGCGATGCACGGTCGGTGAATGTATAACCTTTTTTTCTTCTTCAAAATTCTTTTCACAACCATTCACCGGAAAAGATTTATTGACAATTAAAACAAAATTTGGAAACATAGTTATCAAGAAAGTACACAATTCGCAGGTTGATTATGAAAGATTACACATACAAATATAATAAAGAACTAAACCAAAACAATTGGGCACAGGACTCCAGACATGCGTTACAAACGCAACTCAATGAAACGCCAGACATTATTGACCACTTCTTTATAACCCACATTTTGAGTCGTGTTAGGCGTAGTGCCACTCTTGAAACCGCAAAATGAAATGCCATGCATCCAATTATATTTTTGCGGATAAATGATTTCATACGTGTCATGCATTCACATAGGCCGTATTTTCAAAATTTATATCGGTTTTTTAAAATAATTTTAAATAATTAAGTCAAATGCTTAAATTATAATACAGGAATTTCGGGGATGAAAAAAATGAATGATTATTTTCCATGAATGATCCTGATAGTGCTTCGGAAGGCACATAATCCCTTCGTCGTCCGAAACGCCTTAAAAGTTGTAGGAAATAAAACAAAAAAAAAGCTAAAAAAATAATCCTTAAATGAAACGGTCATGGTTAAAGGGACATTACCACAAAGAACAAATTCTTGATCAAATTAAATTCTTGATATTCATTTTTTCATGAACATAAACCAGCATTGGTACAAAATGAAATGTCATGCATAGGGGTGCAAATGAGCTGAGCCGCTCAGTCAAAGCTCGGATCGAGATCGGTCAAACTCGAGCTCGAGCTGAGCTTGAGCCGGCTCGTTAAGCAGTCGATCCATAAACGAGCCTACTGATTTTAGGCTCGCTAGCTTGCGAGCCTAGTTATATGTGTGTATATTTAATTAATATATGTAATATATTAATATACCATACAAATTAATACGTAGTATATAATACGGAGTATATATTAGTATCTGTAATATATAATATAAATTAATTTTTTTATAAATTATATATATTTTGTTTAGTTCCCGTGTAAGGTTTAGTTGTTGGGCATGTAAATTGCAATTTGCAAATGTTAAGCACAAATATTTAAAGATTGTTTCATACTTGAGCTCGAATTCGAACACGAACTTTCGAGCTAATCGAACTTGTAATTTTTCGAACGAACCAAAAGTATCTAGCCGAACCGAGCCGAGTCGAGCCAAATCGAGCCGAATCAATATTTGTGAGCCGAGCTCGAGCCCGGATTTTTTAAGCTCGTTCGAGCCGAGCTTGAGCTCGACCCAATATAATATAATTCGAGCTCGAGCCTACATAAACTCGGGCTCGACTCGGCTCGTTTGCACCCCTACAGTCATGCATACACCTATATTTTTGCGGATAAATGATTTCATACGTGTCATGCATTCACATAGGCCGTATTTTCAAAATTTATATCGGCTTTTAAAAATAATTTTAAATAATTAAGTCAAATGCCAAAATTATAATACAGGAATTACAGGGATGAAAAAAAAAAGATGAATGATTATTTCCCATAGATTGAAAACATAAAAGTCTTTTTACTAACAGAGATATTTAACTGGAAAATAGAAAACAAGAAACGTGTTTACCAATGAAATTGCTGGAAAACTAGAGAAAGGAGATAAGAAAAACGCGTTTACCAAATCTTTTTCCAAAACGAAAAAAATAAGACATGTCTCTCTTTTCCTTAATGATTTGGAGAAGTGACTTTTACTTGTTTTCCAAATTTGGAAAACGCAGATGCTACAGTGTCGTTGCAATGAATTTGCATACTTACACCTAGTGGTGGGTCCGGTCCCGCTCCGATGTCGATTCCATTCTGGTACCTCCATCCTTGTACCTTACCCCTTACCCCTAAGATACCCTACCCACCCAACCCCCACCCCACGTACCCATTTTCCCTATAATGACCCTACCCCACCTCCTACCACATGCCCCTGCCTCGGCCCCACCCCGATCCACCCTACCCTACCGCCACCCCCCCTACCACCTTGACCCCACCCCGACCCACCCTACCCTACCACCACCCCTACCTTACCCCTTACCACATGCCCCCCACCTCGGCCCCACCCCCCACCTCCATCCTACCCCCACCCTCGTACCGCCATCCTACCCCCACCGCCATCCTACACCCTACCCTTCCCCTACCTCGGCCCCACCTGGATCCCCGGCCCACCCTACCGCCATCCTATCCCAACTCCCTACCCTACCCCTACCTTATCCCAACCCTACCCAACCCACTACCCCCCACCCTTACCGCCATTCTACCCCCACCGCCATCCTACCCCCACCCTACACCTTCCCTACCTCGGTCCCACCCCCCGGCCCCACCCTACCGCCATCCTATCCCAACTCCTACCCCTACCTTAACCCAACCCTACCCACTACACCAACCCTGCCCCACCATTACCCTTAATCACGACCCTAACCCACCCACTACCCCCACCCAATCCCGAGATCGAGATTGGTCAAACTCGAGCTCGAGCTGAGCTTGAGCGGGCTCGTTAAGCAGTCGATCCATAAACGAGCCTACTGATTTTAGGCTCGCTAGCTCGCGAGCCTAGTTATATGTGTGTACATTAAATTAATATATGTAATATATTAATATACCATACACATTAATACGTAGTATATGATACGGAGTATATATTAGTATATGTAATATATAATATAAATTAATTTTTTTTATAAATTATATATATTTTGTTTATTTCCCGTGTAAGGTTTAGTTGTTGGGCATGTAAATTGCAAATTGCAAATGTTAAGCACAAATATTTTAAGATTGTTTCATACTTGAGCTCGAGTTCGAACACGAACTTTCGAGCTAATCGAACTTGTAATTTTTGAACGAACCAAAAGTATCTAGCCAAACCGAGCCGAGTCGAGCCAAATCGAGCCGAATCAATATTTGTGAGCCGAGCTCGAGCCCGGATTTTTTAAGCTCGTTTGAGCCGAGCTTGAGCTCGACCCAATATAATATAATTCGAGCTCGAGCCTACATAAACTCGGGCTCGGCTCGTTTGCACCCCTGGTCATGCATACACCTATATTTTTGCGGATAAATGATTTCATACGTGTCATGCGTTCACATAGGCCGCATTTTCAAAATTTATATCGGCTTTTAAAAAAAATTTTAAATAATTAAGTCAAATGCTAAAATTATAGAGAGAATTCCCTAAATAAGAGTAAAAACGTTTTGAAATTCTAAAATAGGACTATCATGTTTTTTATTCCCTGAATAAAAGTAAATTTCCACCAAGTTTGGCATTACTATGACTTAAACGTGACATTTTTTCCAAACTTGGCAGCTTACTCCTATTCAAGGAATAAAAAACGTGATAATCTTATTTTGGAATTTCAAAACGTTTTTGCTCTTATTTAGGGCAATTTCTGAAAATTATAATACAGGAATTACAGGGATGAAAAAAAAGATGAATGATTATTTTCCCATAGATTGAAAACATAAGGGTCTTTTTACTAACAAAGATATTTTCCAGTTTTCCAGAAAACTGGAAAACTGGAAAATAGAAAACAGGAAATGTGTTTACCAAAGAAATTGCTAGAAAACTGGAGAAAGGAAAAAACAAAAACGCGTTTACTAAATTATTTTCCAAAACGAAAAAAGAAAAAGGAAAAATGTCTCTCTTTTCCTTAATGATTTGGAGAAATGACTTTTACTAGTTTTCCAAATTTGGAAAACGCAGATGCTACGGTGTCGCTGCAATGAATTTGCATACTTACACCTAGTGGTGGGTCTGGTCCCGCTCCGATGTGGATTCCATTCCGGTACCTCCATCCTCGTACCTTACCCCTTACCCCTACCCTACCCTACCCACCCAACCCCCACCCTGCGTACCCATTTTCCCTATAATGACCCTACCCCACCTCCTACCACATGCCCCTGCCTCGGCTCCACCCCGATCCACCTTGACCCCACCCCAACCCTACCCTACCACCACCCCTACCTTACCCCTTGCCACATGCCCCCTACCTCGGACCCACCCCACCTTCATCCTACCCCCACCCTCGTACCGCCATCCTACCACCCACCCTACCCTTCCCCTACCTCGGCCCCACATGGATCCCCGGCCCACCCTACCGCCATCCTATCCCAACTCCCTACCCTACCCCTACCTTATCCCAACCCCAACACTACCCACTACCCCCACCCTTACCGCCATTCTGCCCCCACCGCTATCCTACCCCCCACCCTACCCCTTCCCTACTTCGGTCCCACCCCGGCCCCACCCTACCGCCATCCTATCCCAACTCCTACCCCTACCTTACCCCAACCCTACCCCACCATTACCCTTAACCACGACCCTAACCCACCCATTACCTCCACCCAACCCCTACCCCTAGACCTTACCACCCCATCCCGACCATGCCCCACCCCTACCCGCTACCCCCGACACCTACGAGTAGGTATGGGTGGGTATACAGGGTTGTGGGGTAGTATGGGTAGAGTGTAAGATCGTGGTAAGGGTAGGAGTAGAGGGTCAAGGGTGTGGAATTGGAGAACTGGGTGAAAAAATTGATGAACATGTTTTCAGATTTGAAAATGGAAAACTAAAAAATAGAAACAGAATATTGAAGATTGAAAAACTGAAAAATAAAAACAGAAAATTGGAGAACAAAAAACAGAAATAAAAAATCGAAAAATATCTCTGTCAGTGCCCTAAGTTTCTCATTTCTTTAACCTGAATCGAACCAGACTTTATAAAATACACAAAGCTATTTACTCCCAACCATAATAATATATCAAATAAATAAATAAATATCCCATAAATAAATTTCTATATCCAAAACCACTAACCCAATTGGAAAAGACTGGCAACACCCAAAATATCTAAAATGGGCTGGCCCAGCGTCCGAATAACCCAGGACCCAAACAACCCAACACTTCTGCCACATACTCATGCCCCTCAAACCATCCCTATTTTCTCGCCCACACTCAGACCCTAACGAACTACAGAGATCGGAAAATAAGAGACCACCTTCGGAACGCACAGGTAACCCTCCGGCCACAACAATCGAACTCAAAGCCACCGCAGAGACGAACCAAGATGCTCAGCAACAACCAAGTGGGATGGATTTCGCTCGTTGAACGGCCGGAGACACAGGTAACATTCTTCGTCCTGGAACACACCGAACCAAAACCTCTAACCCGATCCTTTACATGCACGAACACCACACGAATTCATCTACAAAGCTTCTTTAACTCGCAAACCACCCGATTTTTTTTTTTTTACCGGAAACTTGAACTGATTGATTATGTTGCACACGACTTCTTCTCCTTCAGATCTGATTGATTTTATTTTTAATTCTTTTGTCAGAGTAAAACCTTATGGATCAACCCATTTTCAGAAGAATATGTTGTTTTTTGTAAAAATAAACACTCAAAATACACCGTCCATAACACTGTAACGATAAAATCCAACAGATCCGAAAGATAAGGTATTTGGTCAGATAGACCTTTCACTTACCCGCCAGTGGAGAAACATCAACGCTAACAGAGCACCACTAATGTTATTTGAAAAAGTAAGGCGAATTAAATTTCAAATTAAATAAATTTTTGACAAAATACATCAGATTTGCGTTTCCTTAAATTTTGCTTAAAGATTGATTTTGTAAAGGGTCTGGCTGAACCGATATAAGAAATGTATTACAACATATTTTTTCCAACAAACAGCTTGGCCTCAAACTTCACTGAATTAATATTTACGTGAGGCTATTCACACTAAACGTCCGAATCCATAATGACAATACATGAAATTTTAAAAACGTGTTGTTAACGATCGTACTCCAAATTTTATGACATTTATTAAAAATTTAAATCTTTCTACTTACATTTTTAATCATTATACACCTGATAAAATGAATCTCGATCAAATGAAATATATACCTCTGTCTTTTTACCCCAAGAGTCCAATTTCTTAAAACATACTCTTTTTTTCATTTAATTTTCCGCAGGTGTAATTAATTTTTTTAACCTATACGATAATATATTTTATCAGGTTAATAATACCATTTTAAAACCAATTTTTTGCTTACAAGTAAAAACGTGTTCTAAAATTATGATTACACTGGGAACGGTTCATTTATTTTGCTAGAATGCCTTTTACTCTGTATTAAAACAGACTACTCCACCACTTTAATTAAAAATTTCAAATTTCGAACCACCCACCCCCACCCACACAACTTTGATGCGTAGAAACATCCACCCACCTGTCAAAACTTTATGGTAAACATTGGCTTGTACGTAGTGTTTCAGGTCCCAAGAGTTACTGCCCAGACGGTTTGCAAAAATACTATTGTTGTTCTATATTAAATCTTAACCTCCAATCTTCTATCTTTGAATGTCTACATGTATGATGTATGCGCGTGTATACGGATTTGTATCAAATGACATACTATGGGCTACAACTGTATAAAAGTCATTGCATGATGACACAAAAATTTACTCAGTAAATTTGCAAAAAGTGGCCTCTATTGTTTTTCACATTTGATCTCCAATTGCACGGAAACCGCTCACCAAAGTTGATGTTGTGTTCCACTTCAAAGCAGAAATCCGGCGGCTCTAAATGGCTAGACCGGCTCCGATCATCCAAGGGCTTCCCACATAGTGACTTCGTCAACCTCGAACACTTCTTGCTTCACCATACTTCTACTTCGCTGAATTCTCCGCCAATTAACCCTGCTCTTCCGAGGTCGGAAGACATCAGTTCCGAATTGTGCTCGAATGGAGCAGAATTGGAGAAAGAACCGGTGCTTGAAGCTTCTGTCGATGACAGAGGAACAAAATTGGTCAATGCTTTTAGCCATGTCCTCTCTGAGCTTTTTAATATGGGAGAATCGAGTAATTATGCAGCACATAAAAAGGAGTCTCGAAAACAATCGAACCCTAGGATTTTCTCTGCTTTTACTTCGGTGGAATTCAGTAATGTTTCTGGCTCCAGGGATGAACGAGGAAAACAAAGAATAGCGTCACCCATCAGCGATGATCAGACTAGAGTAGAAATGAACGGCCAGGTGAAGCTACTGGAGCAAGGGCAGGATTTAGTGGTGAGTGAGGAGAGAATGGATGCAAATTTATTGGGATATTCCAGGTGTGAGGTTACTGTGATTGACACGAGCTGCGCGCCATGGAAATTTGATAAATTGTTGTTCAGAAAGAAGACTGCATGGAAGGTTTGTGACAAGAGAACAAATACACTATATCTAGGCAAGAAGAAGAAGAGGGATGTAAGCGCAGAAGATAACAATGTTGGCGGAATGAAGAAGCAAAACGTTTCAATAGGAGAAGAAAGTAAATTTCTAAACCTTGAAGTAAGTCGGATATATATTTAAGTTTTGCTTTCATCTCGTCCCTTTTTTTCTTTCAAAGGTGATCTGCTTTTTCTAAGGGATCTTCTCAAGTGTTTTTTTTTAATGCTAGAGGAGTTTATGCCTCCTCCCCTCCTGGCTGATTAAAAGCTAATAGGCTCCATTTTTGTAACTGTTTGGAGTTGACTTGTCATAACAATTTAGTGTGTGCAAAATAGATGGGCAACTGTAGGATTGACTGAACATGGTGTGGTTAAACACTTCAACCTATGTTTAGAGGAACATGGATGATACTTATGACTTTGGGGAAATTTTTGCGAAGATGATTTGGATGTGTTTGTATGTTACTCCATACATGGTTTGTGATACTAAGTATTTAATTACCAAAAATGGTATATACTTTTAGATTTTATAGACATTCTCATCTTACCCATGTTTGTCCAATTTTGCATTTTCATTGGTCCAAAACTTTTTTGCTCATACCTTATTTGACCATATTTATGTGGTTCTAAATTATGGATAGTGATTAGTGAACCACAAGATTCCAGTTGTTCTTAGTTTGCTGCCATTCTTGTTTGTCCCTAAGACCCTAAGTGGGAAGGAAGTACTATTTCTATCATTAAATTAATAGTTAGTCAAAAAAATAGTTATTAATTTTACATTATACTCCCTCCGTCCCAATATAAGAGGCACACTTTCCTTTTCGGTCCGTCCCAATATAAAAGGCACATTTCCCTTTTTGGCAAACAAAACAGTGCAAAATAGTGCAAAACAGTGCCAAACAGTGCCAAACAGTGTCTAAACAGTGCCAAACAGTGTCTAAACAGTGTCAAACAGTGTTCAAACAGTGTTCACCCTTAAAAACTCCCCAAACGCAAATGTGCCTTTTATATTGGGACGGAGGGAGTACTACGTAATAAATGTTGTTCCATTTGACCAATGAATAATGACTAATTAGGGTTTAAAGTAACTTTTAAATAATCATGAAAAGAAAACATGGTTTAATAAGAAAATTGTGCACATCATACAGAAAGAATTTATTTTTTTCATATGCTACAATATGATCTATGATAGCGTCTTGATTCTTGAATACAATCCGCTTCTGATAAAGATGCAATGATAACTGTGTACAGTATTTGACAAAACGTTGAGTGATTTCCTCACTATCTAAAATGTTGATTAAACATGTGTTCGCAAGGGTTATTAGGCTAATGCATTGAATTTGAATATTATTAGCTTGTTGGATCAGGCAATTGCCGCTACGCAGATTCTGAAAGCTATTTATTAGACCATCTTTGTCATGAATTGTGCAGGGACTTCAACCACTGGATAAACTTGAAGATGCTTGTAAAAAGAAGTCAAACCCTGTTGGGTCTTCTCAAGAAAAGAACATGGATTTATAAGAATGGTCTACATGCTTTTGTGGTTCTTTTTCCCCCACAATCTTTTGTTGCAAAGCACTTAATATGGCGTTCTTCGTTTATTTTTGCAGTGCACCAGAATAAGCAAATGTTGTTCTTATTAAAAAGTAAAAACTTTCCCAAGTAAGAAGATTGTTGGAATGGGCATCCCCTGTCATCTGTCAGCAGACGAACAGAACCTAGGTTTGTTGTTAAAAAATATGGAGTATCATTTGCTTTTATTTTGTTGTAACATTCACAGTTACCTGGGATTCGTTATGTCGTACCGATCCATACAAAGATATCTCCAATTCATTTTACGTTGTTACAAAGATAAAACAAAATTACTTCCCCATCCAACATTTAAATGCATATTAAGAGTTAATGTTTAATTATGATAAAATTCTGAATATGATAAAAATTCAATATATAAAATCAGTTATTGAAGAAGTGGGAAATGCTCCTATTCTTCTCATTCCATTTTAGCCCACGTCTTTCATTCATGCAACGAAAAGTTAATACGTAGTCCTTTTTATATTCTACTTGAAAACCTCTTCTGTTTTCTGGTTCATAAACGCGCTCACCAGTATAGGCCACAATAGAATTGTTTGTAATGGGTACATATGTATTTCTGTATAATGGTATACTTATGTTTAGGCATGGACCGGTTCTGGGGGGGGGGGTCCAAATCGGGTTTTTTTGGTTGTGGGGAAAGGCCAGAAACCGGCCCAGGATCCACCGGGACCAGACCGGGCCTAGGCGGGGTCGGGTTGTATTTTTTTAAGTTGTTATAATTACTTCCAACCCCCCCCTAAAACACCCAACCCAATCCGCCTACCACAAAAAAATTGAAAAACCAAAAAAAAAAAAAAATTGGGCCGGTTCCAAAGAGGTTTAGCCTGAGCCCGCCCCCGACAATCTCCCTGAGCCGGTCCTAGGCCCGGATCCGATCCCGGTTAACTGGTCCAGGCCTGTCCCGCACAGTAGCGGGCTGGGCCGGTTCACGGGCCGGTCGGACCGGACCTGGGCCATCCCTACTTATGCTTATTTTGTCTTGCATCCTTAACTATATTTTTTTAGTGTTGTCTGAACGAAGTGTCACTAGTGGAAATCTATCAATATGCAGCATGTCATTTGCGGCGCTTTAAAATTAAGCGCCTTCGAATAAGGGGACGTGCGGCTATTACTTAAAAAGCGCCTTTAATTCCATGCGGCGCCGCACGCTACAAAATAAATAATACGTAGTATTTTTTAATTTTTTTAAAGCTCTGTGGCGCTTGTTTTAATTTATGTGCCGCAATATATTTATTAAATTACTACGTCTTTTGAGTCGTCTACGTCTTTTAAATTTATATTTGAAACAAGGCGGTGCCTAAATAATAAAGCGTCGCAACTGGCCTTGTATATTCGTCGATCAGCAATCGCTAAAAAGCAAGAATACAGATACGCCTAAACCCTACCCCCGTTGTTGGCGCTCTAACTGTCGAAGCACGATCCCATCGCCTACCACCGCGTCGGTGGTTTTTTGGATCCCGGTCCGCCAACGCTGATATCTTCACCTCTTGTTGAACTTGGTCGTCTTGTCGCCTCCCGTCCAGCCGCCCCTCGCCCCTGCTGCGCCAACCCTCTTCTCTCCGGCGATTTCTGCCTCTGTCAAGGATTGGACCTCCCAGAACGGCGCCGATGCTCACCAGTGTTGTCGCGCGTTCGTTCGTCGCCGCGGGCACTCACAGCTGGTAACCGCTCCACTTTTTTTTATTTATTAATTTTCATATTTTAGATCCATATGGTTTATAATATTTTTATATTACTGTATTTATTGTGATATAGATATTAGATATATCTACTATTCTCTGTAATGAGTTATGTGTCTTAAGTTAGGCTGATTTTTTTGTGAACTTATATTCTGTAATATGAAGCTATACAAATTAAAGTGTTTTTTGTTTGTTGAAATTCCTTCTGTGAAGCAAAATTTCACTGTGAATGTCACTTTGCATGTCGTAAGTTCTTAGAAAGTATATTTCTTTGAGTGTATGCAATACTTTGTTTGAAACAGATGAAGAACCAACACCAAATAAGCTTTTTATGGGAACAAGTCTTAACTGTAATCTCTTCATAGGAACACCATCCAAGACATGCTTAGAAAAACTGGAGCATCCTTGAAATTCCAGCTAGCCATTTGAGTTTAAAGGTAAGAGAACGTGATTGCATTATGTTTTTTATGCCTTTATTTAGTTACATTAGTATGTAATGCTTATCTAATGTATTAAGAGATTCCCATAAGTTCACACGTTGAAGTTATCTTTTTCTCAAATTGTCAGCTTAATAGTTTTAACTCATAACCTTTTGTTTTTCTTTGAATGTGTCATAGCTCTCTTTTTTGTTATACAGTATAGAATTGTACACTACCAGTTGGCAATCAAACCAGGCTGTAGACCACTAGACCAGGTTTTTAGGTTTTTAATATCCTCAAGTAAACCTCAGTCACAGTATCCATCTAATTTTTCTAGCATTTTTTTCCTTACCCCGTTTTTTCTTCTTCCAGATCTTAGAACAGTCATTAATTAGCAAGGTGGAATCTAGTTCAATCATGTTGACCCATTATAGATGAAGCTCCTGTCTTTCATCCAAGAGTAGAGGTTCGGTTCTCAATATATCATTTCTTTTCTCTTCTTAAGTTAAGCTAGGAATAGGAAAAGGCTAATGAAAAGGATAACAATGATAGATAAAATACAATTGTGTACTATTCTTAGTTGACAACCCATCTAAACATTATGTCAAAACTAGGGCTGGATTCGGTTCGGGAACCGAACCGATCCACAGAATTTTAGAACCGAACCGATAAATCGGTTTACTTAATAAGCATAACCGACACCGAACCGCTCATCCATCGGGTCCCAATTTGTTGGGAACCGATTTTTCGGGTCGGTTTACCATAAAACCGAAACCAACCGACCATTTTAAAGTAAACCTTAAATCTGAACTATAATTCAATGAAACTATAATTCAATGAATTTTGCCAATAAGGCTAACCCAAAGAATATTGAACCCAATAAGGGCCATTCAATAAGACTAGGTAGTATTAGACAATACATAGCCTACTCGGCTACACCATTTCCATTCAGAGGATCCCTCTTTATATAGAAATCTGAAGGAGAAAACCTACTTATTTGTCCGGTGTGGGACAAAGTGATATGGGTAAAAAGAGTTAGAGTGAAGCTGGACTCGATCTCCTGACGCCTAGGAAAGCTTTGAAATGGCTGACCAGCAGACCAACGCGCACAATACATTCAGATTGCATTCAAAGTGTATCTATATCTTCTTTAAACATCATTAATAACAATAATTAATTAGCAAAATTAATAATCGGTTCGGTTCAAACCGATAATTAATTTATATAAACCGACTCCGAACCAATTTTTTTCGGGTCCCAATTTTTCGTGTCCCAAAATTTATCGGTTCGGTCCGGTTCAGGTTTTTTCAATTCGGTTCGGTTCGGTTATTTTCGGTTCGGTTTTCGTTTTTTTCGGTTCAAATTGCCAGCCCTAGTCAAAACTTCCTCTCCCAGGCGTGGTCCAGACGGGCTCTAACTAAGAGTAGTACAAAATGATGGTGACTGGTTATTATCCTATATATTACTCCCCATACTGGTATTTATAAGCATTAGTATATTTACTTGAAGAGCTTTGCAGGTGAAGTATGGAGCTAGAGGCTGGGTTTGTACATCACATGTCTGATATATGGGCAAAAACATATCCAAATGAAGGAGATCCTAAGGGCCTGTTTACTAACAGAGATATTTTCCTGTTTTCTACTTCTGTTTTTCGTTCTCCAATTTTCTATTTTTATTTTTCAGTTTTTCTATCTCCAATTTTATGTTTCTATTTTTTAGTTTTCCATTTTCAAATTTGAAAACATGTTCATCAATTTTTTCACACAGTTCTCCAATTCCACACCCTTGACCCCTACCTCTACACTTACCACGATCTTACACTCTACCCATACTCCACCACAACCCTTCATACCCACCCATACCTACTCGTAGGGGTCGGGAAGTTATGGGCGGGAGTGGGGTAAGGGGTATGGTCGGGGTGGGATGGTAAGGTCTAGGGGTAGGGGGTTGGGTGGGGGTAGTGGGTGGGTTAGGGTAGTGGGTGGGTTAGGGTCGTGGTTAGGGTTAAGGGTGGGGTAGTTGGTAGGGTTGGGGTAAGGTAGGGGTAGGGTAGGTAGTTGGGATACGATGGCGGTAGGGTGGGGTCGGGACCAGGGTGGGGCCGGGGTAGGGAAGGGGTAGGATGACGGTAAGGTGGGGGTAGTGGGTAGGGTTTGGGGTTGGGGTAAGGTAGGGGTAGGGTAGGGAGTTGGGATAAGATGGCGGTAGGGTGGGTCGGGACCAGGGTGGGACCGGGGTAAGGAAGGGGTAGGGTGGAGGTAAGGGTGGGGGTACTGGGTAGGGTTTGGGGTTGGGGTAAGGGTAGGGTAGGGAGTTGGGATAGGATGGCGGTAGGGTGGGCCTGAGATCCGGGTGGGGCCGAGGTAGGGTAGGGTGGGGGTAGCATGGCGGTATGAGGGTGGGGGTAGGATGTCGGTGGGGTGGGGCCGAGGTAGGAGGCATGTGGTAAGGGGTAAGGTAGGGGTAAGTGGTAATATACGAGGGGTGGGAGTAGAGTAGGGTGGGTCGGGGTGGGGTCGAGGTGGTAGGGGTGGCGGTAGGGTGGTTCGAGGTGGTAGGGGGTGGCGGTAGGGTAGGGTGGATCGGGGTGGGGTCGAGGTCGGGGCATATGGTGGGGGTGGGGTAAGGTCATTATAGGAAAAAATGGGTACGCGGGGTGGGGTTGGGTGGGTAGGGTAGGGTAGGGTAGGGGTAAGGGGTAAGGTACGAGGATGGAGGTACCGGAATGGAATCGACATCGGAGCGGGACCGGACCCACCACTAGGTGTAAGTATGGAAATTCATTGCAAAGGCACTGTAACATATGCGTTTTCCAAATTTGGAAAACTAGTAAAAGTCACTTCTCCAAATCATTAAGGAAAAGAGAGACATGTTTCATTTTTTCCGTTTTGGAAAACGATCTTAGTTGACAACCCATCTAAACATTATGTCAAAACTAGGGCTGGATTCGGTTCGGGAACCGAACCGATCCACAGAATTTTAGAACCGAACCGATAAATCGGTTTACTTAATAAGCATAACCGACACCGAACCGCTCATCCATCGGGTCCCAATTTGTTGGGAACCGATTTTTCGGGTCGGTTTACCATAAAACCGAAACCAACCGACCATTTTAAAGTAAACCTTAAATCTGAACTATAATTCAATGAAACTATAATTCAATGAATTTTGCCAATAAGGCTAACCCAAAGAATATTGAGCCCAATAAGGGCCACTCAATAAGACTAGGTAGTATTAGACAATACATAGCCTACTCGGCTACACCATTTCCATTCAGAGGATCCCTCTTTATATAGAAATCTGAAGGAGAAAACCTACTTATTTGTCCGGTGTGGGACAAAGTGATATGGGTAAAAAGAGTTAGAGTGAAGCTGGAAGTTTAAAAAAATTATACAGCACTGAGACTCGATCTCCTGACGCCTAGGAAAGCTTTGAAATGGCTGACCAGCAGACCAACGCGCACAATACATTCAGATTGCATTCAAAGTGTATCTATATCTTCTTTAAACATCATTAATAACAATAATTAATTAGCAAAATTAATAATCGGTTCGGTTCAAACCGATAATTAATTTATATAAACCGACTCCGAACCAATTTTTTTCGGGTCCCAATTTTTCGTGTCCCAAAATTTATCGGTTCGGTCCGGTTCAGGTTTTTTCAATTCGGTTCGGTTCGGTTATTTTCGGTTCGGTTTTCGTTTTTTCGGTTCAAATTGCCAGCCCTAGTCAAAACTTCCTCTCCCAGGCGTGGTCCAGACGGGCTCTAACTAAGAGTAGTACAAAATGATGGTGACTGGTTATTATCCTATATATTACTCCCCATACTGGTATTTATAAGCATTAGTATATTTACTTAAAGAGCTTTGCAGGTGAAGTATGGAGCTAGAGGCTGGGTTTGTACATCACATGTCTGATATATGGGCAAAAACATATCCAAATGAAGGAGATCCTAAGTATTCTATATGTCAGATGGGTGGGGCATGGCTCTCTACCCATTTCTGGGAGCATTATACTTATACAATGGACAAGGTAAGTGTCCATGTATTTTTAATATAATAATTTGAGTATGACTAAGTATTCTAAGTCTCATTGCACCTGGTTGTGGAATTGCCAGTTAACCAGTTTAGTTACTCAACCATCGTGGACATAGAGAAGTTTCTCTGCCATTACTTCTGCTGCTAAAGGTAGATCATGTTTTTCTTAGTTTCTTATCCGAGTTTGGTTTTTTAAGACAAACATGTTTTTATAATTTTATAAATGAACAGGTTTAACATATTTTTATAATTTTATATAGGGAAAATTACTATAATAATACTAAAAGAGGGAGGAATTCCCATTATATGACTAGAAAATGAGTTTTACTAGAATATGACTAATAACCACCACACACGAGTAGGATTTAGGGATAGCTGCTATTTTGTAGGCTTAGGATTTAATATGCATGTGAGGGGAAGGCTGAAAAACAAGCAACAAACTAGGGAAAAAAACTACTAGGTCATACATTAGGAAATACGTGATCTTTTAGTAATATGAATAATAATTTTCTCTTTTATATATGAACAGGTTTTGGACAGAAGTCAGGATGCAGTGATATTGAGAGTTCAGTGAGCTCACAAACGTCTTTATCCAACCAAAATCTCCAATGATTGTTTTGTAATGGAATGGGTCTGAGCAAAATTACGGATTCGCAATCTTGACCCAACAATATTTTCACTTGTCTCTTAGGTATTACTAGTATTAAAACATGACAATCATCATTTGACAGTTCAGTTGCGAATTCCTATGTTATTTGCAGGCAAAAGATTTTGAGCACCCAAAGGTAATTCATCAGCATATCTCACATCTTTCCTAAGCTTTTGTTTAGGTGAGAGGAGGTAAAAGGAGGGAAGGAAAAATGAGGAGAGGATATCTAGGAAAAGTAAAATGCAAGAGTAAATGTTCTGACCTTTTCCTAACTAAAATACTTACGAGCTGGAACGTTATTACTGTGTTTTTTGCTTTTACAAAAAAAAAGGAGCTACACGAGCAGTCCCGTACTCTACTTTAGATATGATTTATGCATAAATCTCTACATTTATTAAAAACAGACCTTCTCGGCGCGCCACCAAAGTTGGACAATAATGTCTGACTCATGTAACTAGGTTGCTAGGCGCACGCACCAAGTTTTCCCTATTAAAAGCGGTCGTATCACATGCGTAATTTGGTTGTAAAAATAAGTTTTAATAAGTTTTAATATATTGCTTCATTAAAATAAAAATAAGTTTTAATATTTCCTAAAATTTTGTGTAACATGCTTCTAAAATATAGCGTACTAAATATACTCATTCTTTTTTATGCCTCACTATTTGTATCTCATTCTTTTTTTAATGTGTTTCATGATAATATCTAGAATGTTTTTAATTGAGATGTTTTCGTGATGATTTCTAAAAATACAGAAAAGGCGACAAGTAATGTAAAAATCGTTAAATTAACTGCAAACTATGTTGCCATTGTTGAATTTTTTGTCTCTGGTTAAAAAATTCTTAAATTGCAAAGACCTATTATTTAGAGGACCCAACACCATAAGAATAAAGTTCAACACTAATAATGAGTATAGTCAAAAATTATAAGACTAAATTCCAAATATCAAATATAAAATTTAAAATATATAGCATTACAGCTTGCCTAGTAAATTACCTTCACAACTAAAATTACATAATAGTTCCTCGGTTTTTTAAAATATACACTAATAATATTGTTCAAAAGTTCACAAAAGCAATATATTATTTTTATCGTATGAACTATGAAGGATCATAAAAAGATATTCATTCTATATGTCTCATTTGGTTTTTGCACAATATTTAATAAAGCGGTTGAAAAAATAAAAGTTGTGCTTAAGATTTGAATATAATAAAATGAAATCAGGTTTTTAAATAGCGGCTCGCTACCGCTATAGCAGGGGTCACGGTAGGGGCCGCTACCACTACGGCCCGCTATTCCGTTATGAATTTCAAATCACGGGAAAATCCCGCTACGCCGCCCGCTACAGCCCGCAATTGACATTTCCGGCAGTACGTCACGAACGGGTTGATGTGTAAATGTGTCTATGTTGTGTAAATGAACTCTTAATGTTATAAGTGTTCAAACAAATATTCACAATGTTTGTATTAACTTCAACGCTCATTAAATATATGTTTTGCGCAATTGAAAATATTTCACGCCGTTGCAATCACTACAGTCGGCTACAGGCCGCTACAGGCCGCTACCGCTGCCGCTACGGCTATTTAAAACCTTGAATGAAATGTTGTAAACCACATATTTTTTTCGAAAAGGGAAATTGGACACTTATTTTCAAAAAGGAAAGTAAGACAAGTAAAATAATACGGAGGGAGTATAAAGTAACAACAGAGAAAAATCCTCAAATAGTAGTAAAATATTGTAAATTTAATCCCTTAAATAGGACTCATGAATGCACTCTTGTTTAATGAGTTCTTATTCTTTTTTTTAATGACTAAGTAAGTACTCTATAATATTTTATATCCAAATATTTTGCGGTTTGATGGTATCACTTTTTCCCCTTGAAATTAGGGGTAACAGGTGATCGCAAAGAAACCATGGTGTGGGGTCATGCGTGGATTCCTTGAAAAGGGGACAGAAAAGTTACATCGCCGCGACCCCGGGAGTGCGGGATATGAATGTGGCTGCTCTTACCAGAGATGATTGGAGTGTTTGAAATGTTGGTAAAATTAAAAAGCTTTTTAATGAGGAGGCTAAAACTATTTTGAGTATCCCGTATAAACAGGAGGGTGCGAGATGGAATGAGTTGGGTGGGCGAACCAAGAGGGAGTTTTCTGTTCAAAGTGGTTACCGTTTGCTTGTGGGGGAGACTAGCCCGCATGAGTGGGTTGGGTGGACAAAAATGTGAAATTTTCATTTAACACCAAAAATAATTTTTTCACCCCAGTTCATGAATGGTTTACTTCCTCCTAATGATAAATTAAAGAGGCGGGGTGTGGGGTTGATCCTTTATGCAAGGTTTGTGAACAGGAACAGGAGACAAAATTGCACCTTTTCAGGCATTGTATGGTAGCTCAATTAGTGTGGCAGCATCTGGGACTTATTTTTGCAAGGCATCAAATTTCAGGTTCTCAATTAGGGCTGGACTCGGGCCGGTTCGGGCCCGGCCGGGCCTCAGTTCGGAAATATAGGGCCCGGGCCCGGCCCGCCTATAGGCGAGTGCCGGTTCGGGCCGGGTGACCCGGCCGGGCCCCGGGTCGGGTCGGGCCTTATATAATTTTTTTTTGTTAACTTATACATCTACTTGGATATTAAAAACAATCTTCAAGTACATTTATGTGAAATAAGTAATAAGTACATTCTGAGAATTGAGAACAATTAATTCTAATACATTTTGTAATAAGTAATAATAATATAATATAATTAATTTGTTGTAAGTTGTAAGTTGTAACTTGATTAATTTGAGAAATGCGACATATAAAAAAATATAATGTTTATTGATTTGAAATATGAACTACAAATCTACAAGTTGACAAATTACAATAGAGAATTGAGGATAAAATAATAAATTGTAAAATACTAATCAATCAGAATCCCCAGCATAGGAAGAACCACCCTCGGTTGATTCATCCATAAAGTCTTGGGAGGGGGTGATGCTAACTTCTTGAGTTCTACGTCTTGCCTTCAACCAATCGTGGTAGCATATAAGCGTCTCAAGAGATTCGGCACTTAAACACGTTCTCGATTTAGTTAGGACGTTGCCGACCAAACTGAATTCTTGTTCCACGGCAACTGTTGAAACCGGCATTGATAGTACTTGCTTAGCCATCCGTGCTAAAATCGGGAACATTCTTTCTTTTGACTTCCACCACTTTAGGACGTCAAATTCTTCTTTTTCTACAAACTCAACCTCATAGTTAGTATACAAAGCAATCTCATTAATTGTGCTTTGTTCAGTAGTGTGCGTTGTTTTAGTTTTTTTCATAAGATTGCCAAATGCAGATTTAAAAAGTGATTTTCCTTTAGATGAAGATGTTTGGGTCGGGGGAGGGGGCGCGTTGCCATATTGTGCACGAAACTCATTAAATAAAGAATAGAATAAACTACTAACCTCGTTGTATTCAGATTGCGGATCTATAGGGTTATCTTCATACATTGGAAAATCGGTATAAAAAGATTGATAATAGAACTTGTAACATTGTTCCAAATTACCAAGTCTATAACGAGGATCGAGAATAAATGCAATACCATAAATATGCGGAATATGTGCATAATATTTTAAAAACTTTTCCTTCATAAAACCACAAAAATAGCTCACATAATCGGCATTTGCAAATTCATTAAAAGCACCGGCGAGATTAACAAGTTCACGAATAAATTCGTTTGAAGTAGGTTTATAAACATGACTAAAACTTTCAAAGTTTCAATTGCATTATTAAAATATATCAAAACATTACAAATTTTTTCGCAACTGTCGATGTGAGCGGAGTTTAAAATGTAGTTATCATATTCTTTTTAAAAAGCAGGAAAATGTTCTTTATATCTAATAAGAACTCTAATTAATTTATAAGAACTATTCCACCGAATAGACAAATCTTTAGGAAAAGCAACATATTTCACATTTCTTCCATTCAAATAATTTTTCCATTTTAATTTAAGTTGACCATTAGCCCAAATACGTCTAATCCCCCCCTTGGCTACCTCCATAGCATCTCCCAACGCTTTTAGACCATCCTGCACACATAGATTTATTATATGGCATGCACACTGTTGATGAAAAAATCTACCCATCAAAGTTGTAGAACCACACAATTCACGCAATCTATTCAAATTTCGAACACTGTGCCTTTTAATACGAAAAAGTGGGCATACAATGTACTTTAAAATATCTCATTTAATGTACGTAGTATTGTATTGCATTAACAATTTGTATATGGGTTTATTCGAATTTTAAAAACTATATCCCTTTTGCTTGATCGGGCTAGCACGCAACAATAAATGTCTGTACTACAAAATCTCAAAAAAGAGATTGAGAACGAAATAACCACCGGATAATACCCACATTGTATATAATGTTTGCTTGATTACACACTCCCTTCTGCCCCTATATATACCTATACCATGGGTTGTAAAACAATTAAAGCTAGCATATCGAACCGAAAAATGAACCGAAAAATGAACCGAATCGCATTGAAAAAACCGAACCGAACCGATAATATTTGGGACCCCGAAAATCGGGACTGGTAAAAAACGGTTTGGAATCGGGTTGTAGACTCAAATTATTGGTTTGGACCGAACCGAACAGGTTTTTTATTATTAATAATAATTTTTTTTATTAGTACTAATCATAGTTAACGACGTTGCAAAAGAAATACTCCCTCCGTATCAAAAAAATCTTCCAACTTTCCTTTTTCATCCGTAACAAAAAAATCTTTCCATTTCTAAAAACGGAAATAAAAATACACCAATATCTCTATTCTACCCTCAATTATAGGTTCTGAATTATCATTTTTACCCTTAATTTTGAAATTCAAAACCTAATGTGTCCAAATGCCCATTAGTTCTCGGTCCAGTCATCATACCTTACTTGCAGTCCAAATTGCCATTCTTAACTCGTAACCCTACCTATTAGCCGACTCCGGCTATGTTCGGCACGACGAGCTGAAACTGGAGGCTAATGTCTAAATTAGATACTATTGTCTGAACTAGAGGCAATTGTCTGAAGCTGAATTTTGAAGTGCTGAATCTGAAACACTAGTTGAATAGAGTAGACCCGTTTGGCAAAGAGAGCTGAAATAGTGTTGGGATAATATGAAATTACCTTTAAGGGTATATAATTTATTAATAGAATAAATTATTTATTATAACATTTTTAATATTTTCAGCCTTTTAAAATTTTAGTACATACTCAAACTATAATACTACGTCTACACATCTCAAACTAAATTATTTTGGGAGTAATTCTGCTACCGTCAACCTGCTCCCCCATATTGATCCCTGACTCCCTGTGAGCTTTCCGCATGAACCACAAAAACACCCCGGTAAAATTGCTTTGTAAGGGAGCATATATGCTCCAGGTGAGAGAATGACAAAATGAGTTTTTGAAGCTGTGTGAGACGTGAATCCAGGTTGGGTCAGTCAGGGATATTCTTGGAACGCGGAAGTCTTCTTTCCATGGGCTGAATGAAACGCTTCTGTTGTAAACGTTTGATTTTAGTCATACAATTTCAGTTCAAGCACATATAAGCCTTTCTGCCAAACAAGTTTAATGATATTGTAATTAGCTTAATTTGGAAATTTTCAACCGATTATCACCTGAAAAAGTCTGTCGAACGTAGCCTTCATCTCTCCATTTTCAACCCTTCCGCCTTCTTACACTTGCCTGAACCTTTGAGCTCTCATGGAATCCGGAAAAACAAAGGTCTCCACTCCCTCTGCAGCTGGCGACCATGGCGCACTCCTAGCGTCGCACTCAGAGGCAGACCTTATTAAATCTCCGGCCGTCGATATCCTTCACTCTGGGGATTTCACTTCACTTGCCCCTCCCATTGACGGTGGCTGGGAATTCCTATTTGATTCCGAAGGATGTCTTTCTCCATAATGGTACCTATCTCCATCCCGACGATACTAATCTGACTTGGAAAGGGAGGAAACGTTACGAGGGGCTGATTGCACCTGATAGTGAAGACGGCCTTGAGCACCTCGACTACCGTTGCATGGAGGTCTGTTCCAAAAGGGAAGCGACGCCAACCCCTGTCGCTACGGCTGACGTTGATGACTGGTTGTCATAGGGGAGTTCTTACTGCCTAATTTCATTTCTTTGTTGTCTACCGTGTGTAGCAGGTTTGTTTGAGGTTCTACTGTAATGTAGGAGTAAGAACTTTGTGATGCTTATTTGACCTGTATTCATCGGTGTAGTGTCTGTGATCTTTGAACTTTCTGCTGCTGATCTGTACTCATTTTACTCGTGTACTGTGTGTGATTAATAAACGTTGTGATGTTTTGGCTGAGTAAAGCAGTGCAGTGTCTGTGCTAAAAATCTGATGACTAATTTCTGAGGTTGTGTGGCATTATTTTTCTCATGTCTTGCCTGTGATGAGTCTGTTCTGAGGCATAAGTTAAAATTGTGAGCTGTTCTGTTGATTCGGCGTGATATTACTTTACTCCCGCCGTTGATGAATCAAAGTTGTTGATTACATAAACACGTTTAATGATGTAGATGCTTATTAAGGCTGAGTTAAATGATGTCCCATCTGTGATGAATGGAACTGAATTATATGTGTAATTTGTGAACCTTGTGATGCATATTTAGCCCGAGTAAAGCAGTGCACTATCTGTGATGAAAAAAGGGTGTGATGACTAATTTCTGAGATTCTTGTGCTTATAGATGGTACTTCTCTTAAGTGACTTACAGATGGTACTTCTCTTAAGCTGACGACGTTAGCTTGTGTGCTCTGTAAATTAAAATGGGTTCAATCAACATACCAGGTATTAGTGTTGTTATTCGAGCCGAGTCCGAGTATCACAAATTCGAACTCGACATGCACATTTTTCGAGCCTGGCTCGAGCTCGGCTCGTTAAAAATTCGATTCTATATTTGAGCTCGAACTCGGCTCGTTAAACCTATTTACAGCTCGAGCTTGACAACTCGAACTTGAAAACTCACTTATTAACTACAAGTCTACAACACATGTTCAGTCAGCACTAATGGGCCTAAACGGCTAAACCTAATATCTGATAGAATGGCAATTTTACCCATCTCACGAGCCTTGTCACGAGCCTTATTGGGTTTTTGAGTCGAGCCGGCTCGGCTCGTTAATCTTATCGAGTAAAATAGTGAGTCCGAGCTCGACTCGGTTCCTGGAATAAACGAGTCGAGTCCGAGCTTTACCGAGTCAAGCCGAGTTCGAGCCGAACTCGATTTCCATAACATCACTACCAGGTATAGACTACAATTAGTTGCCAAGATAGATTAACAATATAAAGTAAAAGACCTGGAAAGCAAAAGCGGATGAAGCCAGTGCCAAGCCAGTGGGAGACAAACCCTGAAAAGCAGCAGAAGATGATGGAAGCAGGACCTGCGACATCTCGTCCTTCATCAACAAAGCATCTTTCAGGCAGCAGAAGTCAGAGGAGAAGGATGCAATCATCTTCAATGGAGCAGGGCCAGATTCAGCTTTAGGTATCCCAGAAGGCAAGGTATAGGTCTTTGTCACCTCTGCAAAAGAACACTTGGGAATTTTATTTAGGAGAGGGAGAAGATAATTTTGAGGGCGCCCTTTTCTTCCTAGAGGCCATAGACAGGGTTCAAAATCCGAGGGAACTAACCGAGAACTGGATGAGGAGGCAACTGTCAATTTTAGAGGCAGGAAACCAGTCAGAATCATCAGAGAAAGGCAATTCCTAAACGCA